CAAAGCTAAAACATGACTTAGGATCTTGAAAATACTTTATGCATTAAAAATTCATATAAATAATCTAAGGCCATAATGAAGATCTCCAAAATGTCCCTATTATGCAGTCTTTCCATCTAATAAAATACTTTAAAACTTAGGCAACTTTCCAGTCTGAAACCATCAGCTGACTTCGAACCTAAAGCCTGAGCTATCCTAGATACCCTACAGCTCATCAATAAAAAAGTAGCAATTTTGTTCTATCTATTATACAATGCTTAAAGTCTAACTACACAAAACACTCCTCTCTACCCAATTTTCAACTTGGCCTTGCAGTCTCTCTAAGGGAGTACTGAGAAAGGCAATGAATATCTAGTGAAAAGAAAACTATATTTGTGCACACACCATGTGGAATAGAACAAAGATCGTCAACTGAAATCACACAGCTTCTACGATTTGTAAGCAATAGGACCATGTACTGTAAAGCAAACAAAGTGGAAAACGAATCACAGAAAGTCAGCTCTGCCAAAGAGAGATACTGATAACAGAAAGTATCACTACAGTCTCTCAAATCCACCAGCATAACTAACTGCATTTCACCTTTCAATTGCTAAACATTCAATTTCACTTTTTCAGTAAATTCTTATGTGTTCTAAAACTATGCACTACTGAGAGTACTATAAAAAAATGTGAATGAACCATAGATAGGATGGACTAATAGACTTACTAATATGAGCTAAACATAATTACATATAACCAATTAATCACTATTATGCCTTCCAATTAATGTGTAAACAACATGTACAGTGTTCATGTATTGGCTAGTTGTCAAAACAAATCATATATGTAAACATTTTACTCTCAAAATACACACTAGCTAAAAAGCAAGGTGTTTATGTATGCATGTTGCAAATTTTAAGTATTTACTGTGGATATAAAATATCACCTTTTCATCAAAATAGAGAAAAGAAATTAAGACAGAAAGTAAGGGTAATTTACACATCACTGTAATAAACTTCAGGGGAGGAGGGGAAGAAAACAAACTCCATAATCATCCTTCCATTGCTGAAAGGGTTAATCATTATTTATTCACAATGTTGAGTTTAAGACCCTGGATACAACATTATATTCTGTTTGGCTGTGGGTCTTTGCATCTGTTTTCATCAGTTGCTGGTATGTAGTCACTTATAAGTGGGTATTAGTTGTAAGGTAAAGGAGAACCATGCTACAACCCACATACCAAGAGCAGCTAAATAACAAAGAAGGTTTGAGGTAGGGATGAATGAATCTCACTGTGAAGGGGAAATAGAATGGACATTGCCAATGAAGGGGGTACAGGGGTGGAAGCTGGTGTGAGGATGGGTACAGGAAGGGTCAGGTGTGGAGATGATGGAAGGAGAAAGAACTGGGAGAGAAATTGGAAGCTGGGGCATCTCTGGGATGAGCTACAAACCTAAAGCAATAGAAACTCCCAGGAATCTATGAGGGAGACTCCTAGCAAAGGGTGATACTCAGACTGAACAAGCCAGCTCCTGTAACCAGGCAAGGCTTCCAGGGGAAGGGCTGGGACAGTAACCCACCACAAACCCTTCAACCTACAATTTGTCCTGCTTAAAAGATGTGCTGGGGGAAAGGTGATGCAGAAAGTGTGAGAGTGACCAACTAATGACTGGTACTGGTGAAGACTCATACCCTGACAGGGAGCTCACCCCTGAGGGCCAGGACCAAGAGGTGGGATACCTCAGAGACCTAGGACAGAATCAAGCAGGAATGCAAAAAAAAAAAAAAAAGTCAATGAAAATGATTGCTAATGATATTCTGCTATACTTGTAGATTGATGCCTAGGCCAAATGTCATCAGAGAGGTTTCCCCAGCAACTGATGGAAATAGTTTGTTAAGTTTTGATACCTATCTTCAGTTTTGTTTGTTTGAGGCTCTATTAAAATGAACAATCAATAGCTTGTAAGATCATCCAATACATACTTAGAATATCAATAACATCAGTCTGAGGAACAGTTGGTGTTTAAACATAGTTCAGCTGGAGCAGAGACTGCTTTGGGAGTGCAGCATTCCCCAGAACTCTGGAACCAACTCCTACTGTCTCTTCTAGAACTTGGATGAGCTGGCTCCTCTGCTCCTGTCACATTTTTCAATGTCTGCTTATCCAATGGCTTCTCAAGCAATTGTAAGATCATCCAATACATACTTAGAATATCAATAACATCAGTCTGAGGAACAGTTGGTGTTTAAACATAGTTCAGCTGGAGCAGAGACTGCTTTGGGAGTGCAGCATTCCCCAGAACTCTGGAACCAACTCCTACTGTCTCTTCTAGAACTTGGATGAGCTGGCTCCTCTGCTCCTGTCACATTTTTCAATGTCTGCTTATCCAATGGCTTCTCAAGCAAAACACTACAAATTGGATTACCTCATAAAAGGTTTTGAATTAACCACCAGACTATGCCAGCTTCCATGCTGGAAGCTAAAACTTCTAATCACAAATCCAAGGGCTATTTTCATTAAAATAGCTCCCATTGTTAGCAACAAACAGGTAACCTTCTAGACACAGTGCTTAAGCCTATCTATCATCTTTTATCTCACAGAAGCTGTGTAAGGCTTTGTTCCCCATTTTGCAATTTAAGATAGAAAATGAACTGCCAGCCCCAGGACCCAGAACTTCCCTGAGGGAAGGTAGAGCAGGACTGTGTAATACTCCTCCTCTTATCACCTGATGACTCGGCTCTTCATGTCCCCTCCTTCCCTTCACTCTGCCTTGCCCTATTGCTTTCCACTGACTGTCTCATTTTTTTGTTTCTCCCTATTTCTCAAACCAGTTGCCAAAGTTTAGGATCTCCCTAGTTGTCTATTTTCCTACCATCTTTTGGTGCCTTTTCTGGTAAGCTCATCAACTTTCTATGTTTACAATTACACAACATGCTATATCTGTCATCCATGTATCCATTCATTAATCTACCTACTTATCATCTAACCTAGGACCTCTCTTCACGAACTTTTGTGCAATGACTCAATGAATACACATCTCTAATGAACGTTCTACATCTCTTCAGATTCTGTATGCACCAAAAGGAACCTCACTTCTTGACTTCTCATATCTCCATCTCTTATCCCAAATTTCTGTATTCCGAGCACACCCATCACCTGCTCTTACAGACTCTACCACTTAAGTACTTTGGCATGCCCTTTTCACTCAAGAAATACTTATATATTAGGTCCTCTTATCAAGGTCATCCTAATACACAAAAGCCATTCCTGCCTCAGATTTCTGAGGTCCATCCTTCTAGACTGCTGTGAAAGCTGACCTCCCACCCATACACCTCAGGATGGCAAACAAACTTCCGGAATCATATTTCTGCTAAGCTTGATTTTATGTCACCTTCCAGGAATCCTTTAAAGTCTTCTTGAATTGATAACAAGACATTCCCAAATTCCTACTCAGGCACTCTGATCACACTTCTACCACAGCACTAAAGGACAGTGCTCTTCTATTTATTAATATCAGGTTCTTATGTGCAACATATGCTATAGTGTATTGAGCTGTTGTTCAAATGCCAAGACACTGTGCTTCCCCATAATTAAAAAAAGTTCCTATTAACTCTAGATCACACAGCACAAGACTTTCCTCTTAGACCCAGAAACTACCTCAATTAGAATTGTTTGCCCAATCTTAGCACACAGATACTGGCAATTGGTTTGCTGTAAATAAATACTTGTTACAGGAAAGAATATATGTTCATGAAATGCTTCAGATTAAGAACATATGACTAACACAGTTTCACAACTAATAGACTTTTTTCAAACTTATTTGATTATGTAGCTCCTCCTTAGGCAAGTATGCAAAGTGACATTTAAATAATTAAACAAGCATACAGTATGGGTAGCAGAATTATCAAATTACACTTTTACTTAGCTTCCAAGACAGAGGACTTTAACAACACACCAGGTTAATGAATTTCACTGGCTGAAAGAAATACTTAAAACTATCCTCCTAAAAACAGTAACAAAAAGTAAAGAAAATCACCCAAGCCCACACAAGAAAAGCAAACATTTAAAAAGGGCTGACTCAATTTTAAAAAATTAAAAAGCCCAATTGTCTAAACTGAAGATACTAAGGATCTCTCATTCAAAGTTTCTATAAATAAATATATTAAAACCTTGCATACATAGGTCACTCTTCTGAGAATTGAAACCATTCAGACTACAGCATGGCAAAGAGCACATGAACAAAATTATCTGTCACAAAAGCTACAGGCTTTGTACTTGGCAATGGATACACCATTTCACTAGGATGAGAGAGAGAGAGAGAGAGAGAGAGAGAGAGAGAGAGAGAGGACAACAGATAGATAATACAGCTCCCAGCCTGACAGCTGAACATGAATGTGATAGCTGATAACAGAAAGGACACCCAGACAAAGCATATAAAGAAGAATGGTACCTCTGTCTCCATTAGAGTACTTCAGCCAGCAGGCAGACCATGAACTGTAAGCAAAAATAGTTCTCTACCCCTCAACAAATGGCACTGTTGAATCCTTTATAGATTCATACTTATAACCCAGATGCCACAAAAAAATAGTATATCCAATAACTTCTGAAGAAGGTTTACAAACTGCTTATTTTAATGGCTAGATTTTTGATGGGGTGAACTACCCTGAATATATCTATGAAAATAAGCACCAACTCATATGTTGCCAGTATAATGTATATTGCATCAGCTTGCAAAGTAGCCATTGTTTGTGTGCCTTGGCAATTTTCAGGTGTACTCTGGAAACTGAGAATTAATTAATCAAGAAATCTGGATTGTTTGAGATGCAGATCCATAAATTATTTTGAAATGGAGTCTGAGGATTGAGGGCAAGTTTTACACCAATATTTAAATGAGGACTGAGCTCAGGACCGATCGTGGGGACCTTGAAATATCCCAACTTAAAGAACTAGAAATGTTAACTATGAAACAACTCTTATTAAAAAACATTTTACAAAATCTCATCATGAAATATGTTTATTGAGCTTTGGGCAGTGGCAGTACTGTAACCAATGAGGTTTATCCTAGGAGTGATTATTGCTAACTGAAATATATTTTTTGAATTTTTTTCTTGTAACAAGTGTTCTAAGTATCAGTATAAACACAAACTGTAAAGTTTGGACTCCAAGAGTTCAGATCTTTGTAATAGAAAAGAAAAAAAAAAAAGCAGAAGCATGTCCAGTTGTTCCTTGATGTGCCAAACAAATCTGAACTGCTGTTCCAACTATCCACACTTCTTCCTCATAGCTTAAAAATGTTTCTATAGTGCAGACAACACTAGAAGTGCACTTAATCTTGCTGGTGGCAGATAAATTGGGCACTCTCTCTAACACTATCTAAAAGAGTTAAGAATTGCTGAACAGATATGGTCAGAGCAAGGCCTCAAGCTACCAAGAAAACTGCAGATTCAAAATTAATTCGATTAACACAAAGCACTGTTATTCCTTACCATGTACTTGAGTATATGATTTTTTTTTCAGTTAACTAAAAAAGAAATCCTAGGGACCAATGTGTGACTGGTAATGCTATTAGAATGACTAAGAAAAAGCTTGTAGCCTTTAAAAAGATAAAAAAAAAAAAGACTTTTTTTCTGGGCACATGAGTTAAGGAAGCCTACATCCAAGAGGGTTATTTGTTTGGGTGTTTGTTTGGGATTACAGATAGAAGTAACAGCATATGTGGCATCCAGCCAAATGGCCACACATTCCTGTCATTAATTTTGAAACAAACAAAAAAGTTGTACAAAGTGACTGCCTAAGATGACTAAAAACTTTAGTGCTTTTCTTTGAACCTTTTTAGAAAGAATTCATGTGAAACAGAAGCCTGTGACTAGTCCTGACACTGTCACAATTGTGGCTTTCCAGAGAAGGTGAGGATCAAGAAAGTCACCCCTTTGTTCCCTTGTGACAATCCCTCCCCCAAGCTAGACTTTTCACATTCGTTTAATTTCCTGAACTGTAAGCACTTTTCTGCCTCTGCTCCTTCGCGTCCTTCAGAACTCTAAAAGATGCTGAGGACTGGTACCAAACACAGGCACAGCAGCGATCCTGTCCCTAAGCAAGCCAGAGTGACATGTTCTCAGTCCCCAACTTTCTAACCCTTCAAACCTTGGCGCACACAGATCAGGTTCAGCCTGGAGACACCTCTGAGCGTCCTTTTGCCCGGACGCACTGCATCCTCGAGCGCCCTGGGGATGGATGCGCTCTCCTCCTGCACCCCGCAGGCAGCACCCATCCCGGGCCTCCCGGCTCCTCCACAGCAGGCAACCCCTCCGCGCCCTCGGGATCGCCTGCCCCTGCCCGCAGCGCCCTCACCTTCCAAGGGCCCCCTCCCCAGTCCGCCTTCCCCGGGCCACTCGCGACCGTGCTGTCCTGGACCCTGCTGCGGTCACCCAGAGGTCCCACGTGTGCGCGCCGCCGGGGGCCGCCCCCTCCCCAATGCACCCCTCGCGCACCCACCTTCAGCGGGAACCCGCGGGCCAGAGAGTCCCG